AACATACACTGCAATGCTGGCCCCTGCTGTGATTTTATGGGAAGTCATCATGCAAACACTACCTATCTGTGCTGAAATCTAAACTATAAGGTGTAAGTTAAAGATTAGCTTTGATTAAGTACCTTGGATGAAGAGAAAAGAATGCTCTGATTAACTGATTTCCTAGAGCTATCTAGGAATTAGTCAAAATCTTTCTCTGGCTTGTGAATTGAGCTTAGGGACAGGGGTGCCAGGTAGAAGAGAATGAAAGATCTGAGAGTCATAAAACCTTAAAGTTGAAGGATAACAAAGGATATGGATGTTGATTATGAGGAAGGACATTATTTTTGTGGTCAAAATAGATTATTCAGTGAACCAAAAAAGAATACTGATCCGGAGAAGAACCATTTAGAAAAGAAAATTACACTCAATTCAAAATGGTGGTTCCTAGGATCCACAGTCCATGCCTGGACAACCTTACCATGCTGATGGAGGACAGTTAGTACATTGGACAAGGCAGCTGGAGCTCTGTGGAGGGCTTTCCGTCTTTCAGAGAGTGTGGCTTCAGTGATGTGCGTGTGGCTTGCAGATGACTGAGAATTCAAATTCTCATATGTAAACAAACATGTGAATCTTACATCTCTATCTAACCCAATGGTTCCCTTTTGGTGAGAGTGACAGCTGTCTGCATCTACCAGGTATTCACTTTCTTGATATAGTTCATTGATGCTGTAATGTCTAATGAGAAACTGCCCAGCCTGAAATGAGAACTGACCTTGGGTCCCACCAAATAAATAAATCCTGCACTCATTTGGGAGGTAGTAAATTTCCCCCCAACTCCCGCCCCAGCCCCACACAGAGTGTTTCTTTTTCTGCATCTCTAAATGCTCACAAACACAGAGAGTGATAGATGCTCACTTGACTTTTTCAAAATCATGTCAGGTTCAGTGCTGCAGAAGGGCCTTCAAAGTGAGAAGAGAAAAATGTCCCCACCCACACATGTCCTGTTTCAGGGGAGGTCGTTCAAGTTCATTACAGTGAGACTAGGGAAGGTTTCAAGTAAGGAAATTAAAAACAGTTTTCACTGTGAGCTGGAGCAGGGAAATGGTTCTCACTCGGAAGGGCTGTAAGAAGGATCAAGTTAAATAATGCATGTGAATGAAGTCATTTTGAGCTATAAAACATCATCCTACCAATGTCAAGTTTCATCACTTTTAACTCTCTGAGTGACCTGTAAAATGCTAGGAGTCTTCAGAGAAATTTATGAAGGGTCTACATTGTGCCAGGCAATACACAGATATGGAAAAAATAAGGCCTAATTTATGTCAGGGAGGCTTTGTTCAATTTAGACAGGCATATAATATAATGGCATGACTCAGGCAGTTAAAAAAATGCCACTAAATTGTCTAGACGCACCAGTGGGAGAGTGAGTCATGCACCACAAACCATGGTGCATCCTTCAAGCTCTTTCTGCTGCTGCTCCAAGTTTTCCTTTGAAAAAAGTAGCATTTCCTTTGACAACCTGGTAGTTCTCAGGTCTAGCGATCTGTCATGAGAAATAGACACCAGCCAAGTGAAGATTTTCTTAGCCGACTTGCTTCCAGGTTGATGTCCAAGTCTTTCTGATTTAATTCTCTCCTTTCCCCTAAATTTTGGTTCCACCATCACCAGAGGCATGTCTGGAGTTGGGGGCGGGGGGCGGTGGAGTGGGAGTGAGGGTAGGAAGACACTACCCTGGGGCAAATTTTGCCCTGTAGACCTGGATGTCTTGAGCAATTTAGGAAAAGTTGCTTATTTCTATTTGTCTCTAGACAAGAAGAATAGAAGTTGTCTCTATGTATCCAACTTTAACATCAGGAATTTGAGGCTTACACACACACACACACACACACACGCACACATGTTCCTTAAATTCTCAGCCTCTTCATTGCGGGCTGCATCTAAATCATTTCTAAAGTGCAAAAGGGAAGGTAATCCAACCCTTGTGAGGAACATTCAGGAGTGGCCCAGGATCTAGTCTCCACCCATAACCACTGCACTCTTGGGTACCATTAGAAAATTCATGGAATTTTGAGACACAAAGAACTGGGGGTTGGGGGACAGGGGAAATTCAGGTCTTAGCAACCAATAAGCAGATAAGCTTCAAGCAGCCATGCTTAGGGCTGTGACACAGAACACTATGTCCATAGGCCATAGGGGGCTCTGGCAAGGTGTAGGCACTTCTCTGTTCCACCCTCACTTCTTCTACCCACCTCTGCTGCCTTACAGCTTTCCTAAAATCCGTGAACATCGGTTTCTTGCCTGCCTCACCACCTAAAGCCTTAGGCTCCAAGACTACCCCCTCCTACTCTTCTATTTACTAGATGCCAAGGGCCAGTGGAGGCCGCATGGCAGACAGTAGTGGCAGGCTCCATTCACCTTGCAGAAGCCCTGGGCTTCACTGACATGAGACTTGCAGCTTCCCCAGCTCACTGCTGCTCTTCAGTAAATTCCCCTCCCCCCTCCTCCCACCCTGACCAAACACACATGGGAGATGGTCCACTTGGGCAGATTCTTCTTCTGCATCACCAATTCTGGTCACCAGTGTTACTTCCTGCAAGGCCTTTGACCCCTGATGACCTTGGGCAGGGTCAGCCTGTTGGTGAGGAGGCTGGTTCTCTGCTGTTGCAAGTGTGACGGGACCTTGTTTTAGAAAGATCAGATCTGTGGGATGTGTATTGATGGCAATACAAAGTGTCTATTAACTCACTGAATCCTCACAACAAAATAGGAATTAAGCTGAAGTCAGTCATTCATCCAGCAATTGTTCCTGGGTGCCTAATACGTGCTTGCTGTTATTTAAGGGCCTTAAGGACATAACAAAACTCTACTTTTGCAGAGTTTATATTCTAGGGCAACAGTTTCAGAATCGGGGGAGATTAAAAAAAAAAAAAAACCTTTTTGTATAAGTAAGTTATGTATTCTCAGCCACTACACCTTATTCTGAAGAATTTGAGCATTCATTCAGTCATTACTAATAGCTGATATGTGTTCCAATTGCTATTCTAGACACTGAGGATACAAAGACCGAAGAGTCTCACGTTCCCTCCAGATTCCCCCAGTCTAGGCAGAAAGTGTGAAATATACCTATGTAGTGAGAATTAAGTGGCATATTAGAGGCATCAAGGAAGGTCAAGGAACACAGTCCCCTACAGCCCTACCCTCCTACTGCCACAGGCTGTCACACCGTAGCCCGCTATGGGATGACTTCTCTCCCACCCCCTTCCCTTCCTAAACACCCCTCTCTGGCCATTCAGGGTAACCCAACCCAGAAGTATTCCCTCTGAATGTGACTAAGGGAAAGTCTTACTAATGTCCTGATAAGCTAACTGCCTGAGTATTAGGTTGCTGTTTACTCTTTCAGATAGTCTATTTACACTGAACTCATTTTTAATGTCTCCAAACAATGGGGGGAGGGTAGAGTTCATTGAGGGAGTGCCATTCTGTAGCCCACTGGGGAAGGCCAACTCCTGGGGTCAGCAAAGGCACTCCACACTCTTCAGGGCTCATTCTTCGGTGGGACCTCCACCCTCTTTTTAAAAACTGAAGACACTGGGGTTGTCTTCGCAGAAATACTCTGAGAGTCAGGAAGTTTTTAGGATGCAGAACAAGATGACAGGTCTTTTAGTGCCAGAGTTGTGGGCCACTGGGATTCTCTATTTTTGAATGAATGTGAATAGCTTTCATCAGATTCTAGGTCTTCTCAGAGAAGGTGGACATCATTTTGAGTGATAGAGTTGAGTTTCTTTAAAGAAGTAAAGATGATACAGTTATAGTAGGGAGGGGAGAAAGGGAGCAAAGGGACAGGGAGAGTGGAGGGTTCAGTACAGACAAAAGAATTTAGGGTTTTCAGTGCCCACTTTAGCGCTGTTTCTCTCTACTCCACCGAGTGAGACCTGAAGGTCTCGGATTCAGGATCTAACATGGTTCTGTCACACACCTTAGCTATGCCTCTCCCTGACCCGCTGAGGGTAGGAACTGATTTATGGGGGCAATTTTGGACAGTTAGAGGCTGCCCTTGCTCCATCATATTGCTGCTACCATCAGCTGACTTTGAGCTATGAATATACTATTTGTCATTAAACAGAAAAACGTTAAGCTTTTGGAATGGACTGTCCCTAGAGACAGTATGTCCCTGTGGAATAACACTGACTGGTTACAGAGAATAAGCATAACGCACATGGCTGCCCTTCCAGCAACACACTGTAGAGAGATAAATCACTTCAATGAGTCAGCCTTCAAATGTTGACATGTTGGGATCCCCTTGTCCCGGGCAGAAATGTCTGGCTTGCCGGCAGACTGAAGAACTTGAGACAAATGTTGTCAACACCTGGTGTAAGTTATGAGATGAATAAATATATACACATTCTCCTTGTCAACTTGAAGCCTAGGTCAGAAATATTTCTCCCTCAGAGAGAGGGAAAGGAACAAAAATTCAGACTAGAATTACAAGTTGATCTAGAAAATATTCACTGATTCCCCCCACCTATAATTATATACTGTGTGTGTGACTCTGATATGTGACAGGGATAGGTTTTTTTTCCCCCAAAGAAGGAAAATACAGGAAAAATAGGTCCCTAAGCATTTCCAGCAGCATTGGATGTGATAAGAAGTTAGTGTGATTGAGGAAAGAGCTGTAAGACAGAAGTCAACTCGCTGAAACTCTGAGGCCATACCCTCAGGAAAGAGCAAGAAACTGGATTGTTTTTCTATTTGTTTCCTTTTGTATCAAAAAAGGGGTCTAGGGGCATGGAGTTGATGATCTTAGGGTTTCTTCCATATGAATATTTTTCTTGCCTACTAATGCATTCGTTCATTCATTCATTTATTCATTCAATTCACTCATTCCATTATATATGCTAGCTGCTATGTCCCAAGTGTGCTGGTGACAGCCCAAGCTTATCTGAAATGAGAAACAGAACATGCTTGCACTCCCCTCCAGATACTGGGGTTCACAGGTTTGGTCTGGTCACCAGACTCACCAGCAGGAATAGGGGCATCTCTTGCTATAGCGACAGCAGTAGAATTGCCACTCCCGATCCAGCACCGACTCAAAGTAGCGACTCTGAAACCCTGCCACCAGCCCATTGTTGGAGCATGTCTGGTACCTGAAGAGAAAAGAATAATCCCAAGTTAAACAACCCCAATGACTCCCAGGTTGACCATTCCCAGACCCCCAGCTCCTATAGCTACTGAGTTAGGACTTAGAATTCTACAGTATATTATTCTATTTTTTAATACAAAGGCTCTGGTAGATTTGTAGAAATGACATATTGCTCATCATTGAATTTCAAGTATTCAGAATCTTTTGACTGAAGGAAATTTGGATAGACTGTTAGGAATATATTGTTAGAGGGAAGGGTGCATAAGTGAATAGGTAGAGAGGAATCCAGAATTTTGAAAATACAAGATTGTATTATTCATACTTTTTAAAATAAAAAATAACATAATTCACACTACTTGAATTTTAAAATACAAAGGAGACAAAGGGAGAAAATGAAATGATGACTTCAAATAATGGATTCTTCTGCTGAAGAACTGACATTGAACCCAAGGGTGCTTGTTCACTATGACCTGGGAAGCAGACAAAGTCCAGATGAGCATATGTGACTTATCTAGGGTGAAACATCTGGGACATTAATTATTCAGGAAACTCTACCACCCACAGGACTATAACCTCTGCATGATCAGGGAGCACTGCGGCTTGAGCTCCATCCCCAGTGCCCATTGTGGGTCCTGGCACAGAGAAACCAGAGTGGTGAGAGACCAACTGAACTGAACTAAAGTTCCCTCTAGGGTCTCAGCCTATTCTAGCTGCTCAGTTCTAGTTCTTCAAAGAGATATAGAGGTGAAGCGGAAATGTCCCTCCATCCTTCAGGACTCCTCTTTGGATGGCCGACAATCAAATGCACATCAGACAGATCAGGAGGAGAAAAGGGAACTCTTAATGACATATAGAAATTACACAGATGTAGATTCAAAGGCTATGGGGTAGAATGAGAGTATTTCTCCTGGGCTAGGGAATAGGATGGGGGCCTGGACTTCTAGGGGCTTCTAGGATGGAGGAAGTAGAGTCACATAGTGAGGAGAGGATGACTATGTGATGAAGAAATGGAGCTTGCCCTGCCATATAGACAGCTTTTCTGAAAGGAAGGTGAGTCTGGTGAAAGTCCTGGTCCCAGGTAATACACCTAGCTTTCAGGTAGTTACGAGAGTGATAAGAGTGTCCTAAAGTCCTGCAGGGCTCAAGTGACCTCAGCTTTAACAAATTCATATGTCACAGTGACATGCTTAGGGAGGGCTGTTCTGGATCCTTTGGAAAGGACTAATCTTCAAAGGCAAACCCCTTCACTCAGGTCTGCAGAGCCTTCCTGAAGCCACATGGGCTTTTATTTTTCACTCAACCTGGGTTACAGCTGATATAGAAATCAGCCCCCTTATCTTCACAGCAAGATAAGAGTTGGCTAGTAACTCCCTAGTAAGAGTTGGCTGAGCCCCTATAATCATTTCTTCCTTTTTCTAATTTCTAATATTACTTTCCCCCATTCCCACCCCACATCCTACCAATGCACCAATGCCTTATAGCTCGCCACTTTTTGCTGCAATGAGTGTGACCATCTCTGCCAGGCCACAGTGGGTTTCCAACTTATGTGGAGTGAGATCTTTTGCGAGTGCACTGGAAATAAGACTTAAGCTCCTTCTGCTATATTTATTTATTTATTTCCTAGCTTTCTGCTCCCAGATCCTGTTCCCTCACAGTGAGCTGATCCTACAGTCATCAGTGTGTCATGAACTGTCAACCCCAGGAGAACAACCCTTCTTTCCAAGTAAAGATAAATTTCCTGAAAACATAATAAAGTAAGAATAAGAACCTTGGGGTGACAGGTGAGCAGCCTTTGCTGACAAACCATGAAAACTTCAACAATTGTGTTACATTTTATTGTTCTTAGTTGTTAGAAATAAACATATAACCTCACACAACAAGATATCAAATATATTTCATGTCTCCAGTCAGAGAGCATACATCCCTCTCATTCATTCATTCACACATAGATACTTTCAAATATGCATGTATCTGTTCATGCCTCCATTCAACCACTTGTGCTCCACTGCTAATCTGGATCAATCACTGCTCTTACAAATTGTAGATAAATTGGGGAAGGGTTCGGTACTTGGTGGATCATACATATTACATTGAATTCTGAGTTCTCAGGTCTGCTGTGAAGTTCTGCAGATCTAAGAAATAAGCTATATCAAAAGAGACACATATGTCAAGGAGACCAATAAATCTTATTAGGATGTAAATTGATACAGTCTTCTTTGCTCTATCACTGTTACATCTCCTTAGGGGGGTCAGCAATTTGGAAAACCTCTGGCACATTTCAGGGGCCAGGTGATCAGGATGGACAGCTAGGGTCTGTGTTATTGGAGATTTGGGGGTTGACCGAGGATGCTCTAATCTATCTGAAGTCTAGCAACTTAAGTGGGAGTAACTTCAATGGAAGGTTCTAAGCATCACAAACATCTCACATGTGTCCAAAAAGAGGAGGTAACCAAACCTTCACTCTCCAAGTCTCCCCTTTACCGTCACTGAAACACTGCCTTCCTCTAAAATACTTCCTTCTTTTCACAACTCAGCTGGGTTGTGGTTTCCCTGCAACTATTGTTCCACTGTTCTGCTCTGTCCTGTGCACTGACACCGAGTAGTTATGTAGACGGGTGATGGTGGATGATGAATCGGGGCTCCAACCTCTGACTGTGTCACTCAGGGAAGGCTTTAAAACCTCCTTCCCTTCTGTAAAGAGGCATAATAAGAACACATGCTTCTTAAGTTTAGTATGAAGATCCAGTAAGGCGATACAAGACAATTCTAGGGATGGTGTCTTAAAATGTTTCATAAATTATGCATCAGTATTATCATTTTTTTTTTAAAGATTTTATTTGTACATACAGAACTGGGGTACAGGCCAGAGGCTCAGGGGCGGTGAGAGGCCTCACCAGAGACAGAGTGGGGAACAGAACAGGCAGATCGACAAAGTACACTGCTGAGGGGAGCAGCGGAGGGGCCAGGAGAGGTCTGCCACGCCATGTGGTCACCTCCTGGGCAGGAGGGAATCGAACTCATGCAGAAGTGGCTTTAGATTCTCAGTGCAGTGCTTTAACCCACTGCACCACCAGGGAGGGCCAGTATTATCATTTTTATTTATTCCACATGACAACCATGAGTAGCTTCTGTGAGAGCCGCTCGGCATGGTGTTTGTCAGTGGACTCCTGTGTGTTCCCTGAGCTGTTTCCCTAAAACAAGCTAACAGAGGTTGGTTGCTTGAGCTTCTGATACACACCCACATTTTATAACACCATCCCCAGTTGATGGGGAAGACCTTGCAGGAAAAGATCATTTCGTTTTCATTGTATATTTTCCATCCTGCCTGACATAGAGCCCAGCAAATGTTTAATAGAGAAATGAATGCATAAATGAGTGACTGGATGACAAGAGCATTTTCCATTGTTAGAAGGATGCTTGGCTTTTCAGAACTCATCATTCAAATCCAGGAAGAGCCTGTAACTCCTTCTAAGTAGTGCTATGAACTGGGGGAGTGATCTGTCTTCCCCATCACTACTTCCCCAGGAAAAAAGCCCATTCCAGGATGACAGTGCAAAATAAACAGAGCTTCAGGCCCTCCTCTTCTCCACACCTCTCACTTTCAACACCTTTGTGTTTTTTTAAGAAAAAACATTTAATATTTTTCTTACAACTCTGTATAAGTCTATTCCAGAAGGTAGAAAACCAAGCTGCCTCTTGTCTTCTTTGTCACTGTCAGATGTGGGAAAAGAGTTGAGAATCAAATTCTTGTTTCACAATTTGCTATTTAAATTGAGTTTTGAACCTCTCTAAACTTCAGTTCTCTCATCTAAAAAATACATTTTATTTTATATACATATGAAAATATGTAGACACATGTGTGCATAATATGTGCACTATGTGCATGGTGCATACACATATGTGTGTGTACAAGGTTTTAAAGCACCCTGTATTGTGTCCTATGAACACAGCAAGAACCACTTTTGCAGAGCTCATGTTCCCCCAGACAATTGATTACTAGCTTTTAGGGGAGTGATCTTGATGGAAAGTTCGCGAGAACCCTAGATCTGCCATAACCCTGCGCTCCCATTCTCAGTCCTCTTGCCCTCGGGGTCATTCTTACTTGCCATCTCTTCTTTTGCCCATTACTCACTACAGCTTATCTAAGAACAAAAATGCCGCCAACATCTAATGTCCCTGCAGCACTGCGGCATCAGATTGGCCAGCCGGGGTCCGTTTCTGCTGCTCATCAGCTCAGTGTGAGCAAATCTCCTAATACTTCTGAGCCATAGTCCTTTGTGTATAAACTGGGAATTGTAATCCTTCCCATTTCCCAGATTTGGGCTCAAATACAATTAGGCAACAAAGAACTTAAGGGCATAGACTGGATGATATTGATCATATTCCTGGGAGCTGGCAGATTTTGTGATAATAAGCATTTGTTAATGAATGAATGAGCAAAGGACAGTATGAATGGAGAATACTTTATAAGCTGCTATGTTAGATGTTGGCAGTATTTTTGTTCTTAGATAAACACTCCATAAATCAGGATTAGGGTAATGGCACCTATATTTAATGTAACTACTTCATTGATTTTGGCCTTCTTCCTGAATGTGATGTAAACAGCTGACTCTAGATTGTACTCAAGGTCCTTCTCACTACTGAGATTCTGCCCTGCTCTGATTGCCTTTTAAACTCTCAACATGTTCTCTACCAGTCTAGGTATCATTAACTTCCAAAAATCTTTTTATTTTTTAATAATTTTAGATTTATAGAAGATTATAAAGCTATCACATAGGACTCAAGCACACATTTCACCAGTATTATCTTTCATAATGCTGTTGCCTTTACAAACACTAAGAAATTAGCATTGGTATGACACTAAACACCAGAGTCTTTCGGTATTTCACCAATTTTTTCATTAATGTCCTTTTCCTATTCCAGGATCTAAACCAAGACACTACTTAGCATCTTAACCCTTATGGCTTTTGAAATAAATAAGTTATTGATACTTTTTAAAATTCG